CAGGGCCGAGGCGAGGGATCCGGCCCGGTCGGCGGCCATCGTGACGCCCACTTTGGAAGGCGGGTCCGGCCGGACAGGCCCGACGTCGCCATCGTAGCCGGGAAGCGGGGCCCGGCCGGGGTGGAGGCGCCGACTCGCGGCACGGTCCTGGGTAGACACCCTGGTCCCGGGCGAACGTCGAGGCAGGTAGGAGAGCCAAAAGCTGTCCCCCCGAGCCGGCGACAGTGTCGCCCGTGACGCTCAGCCCTGGTGGAGCAGAGGCCAGCGGGAGCCTCGTGGCAGCATCTTCTACCACGGTGCCATCCTTCACCTTCCAGACTTGTTGAGTTTTCCCTGAGCGCGATTCCCTGTGCCCCGCCTGTGCCCTCTTTGTCCAGGTGCCTCCCTGGTGCCCCTCGTCCTTAGAAACTGACGCCAAATAGCCTGTCACAGGCTGATGAGCTCCAGAAGCTCCTTGTGCCTTTTCACCTCCATATTTGTTTTAGGTCAGTTTCCGAACCTTGTTCTTGGCCCCGAACCACAGCCACGATAGCTCTCTTCCTAAATAGCCAGGGTTTTCTCTCGAAAGCATCTGCATTTAATACCTGGCATTCGGTATTTTTATTATGCTCCCTGACTGAGAAAGCAACACACTACCGGGTATGTGCGCGCTTCGTGTTTTAAAAATAAACCACTTTTACCTTCAATTTTGTAATAGTCGGCAGTTGACTGCTGAAATCTAAAGGATAGTCAAGGCATCTTGGAAACAATGTTGATGTCCCTGAGGAACAAAAAAATAGCCAAGGGAAAAGCTGACCAAAATTGGGAGCGCAAATTCTAGTGTTGTGTGGTAATGAAGTGAAGCTAACAAGACCAAGGGGAAAACACACTCATTCAGGAAAGGAAGTGACATCAAGAGGGGCAGGCTGAAATTTAGTGAAGTTGAGGTAATGGATGGACATAGTCATTTTTGTAAACGTTTGTTTTGGGCAAGGTTTTAAAATGGAAAGGACACTGGGCTGGAAATTTCGGGGATCTGGCGTGTGGTTCAGGCACTGTTAGGAACCCATCATTTTAAGTGCCTGCACGTCCATGTCTGCAGCTCCAACATAGTCGCCTCCAGTTTCCTCCCAATCTAACAACCTCAGGCATCAGGAGAAAACAGGCTTCACTGAGACTCCATGAGGTGCAAGAAGTCCTCCAGGTCCTAAAATAAGGAGAGATTTTCAGAGCAGGATTACTGCTTGTTGTTTGGTTTTGTTGTTTTTGATGCTACAGAATAGTATACAGTACTCACAAGGGCGAGGTCTTTTCGGGAGCCCCATGTGCACTTGTCAAGTAAGAGTAATGACAGCTTTGAGGTGGTATTGCGTAGTCAAAAGTGGAAGGCCACGGTCATTCCTTACACTCTCGCCTTTGAAAAATTTCTTCTCGTGGCCCCAAAGAAAATACTGACAATCTCATTAGCATATTGCTCTCACAGGTTGGCCACCTGTGGTAATTTGTGAAGCCAAGTGCTAAGGCAGTGTTTCTAGTTGTATTATCTAGTTGTACAAAAAAAAAAAAATCCCTGAAGATATAATTCCAAACCGAGATAGAAAGGGAAATGAGAAAGCAAAAGTCCATTAGGTTTTCAGATTTAAAACGATGCATGGAAAAAGAAGTCGGCGTGTGTTCAATTTAACTTTAAGGAAAGGGTCTGACGATGAAAATTCTTTTATGATGAACAACATTTTGCATTCCAGGGAGTGGTGAAGGTTAGGAGAAGAAGCTCTTTTGAGGTCCTACTCTTGATTCCACATGATCTCATCTCAGTTTCATGTAGCATTTTCCCTTGTTTTATCCCCACTGAGAGCTGTCCGCTGATATTTAAAGTACTAACTGGAAACCACAGCACCTTCACATTTCCAATCCTTTCACCGCACATAAAATGTAGTAATGTGGGGGTTGCAATGTGTGCGGCCCCAAAGAATCACACCTAGGCAGGAGGAGAAGCTGGGTCTTGTAGGAAGGAGCTTCTGAGAAGTCAGAGCTGGTCGGTACAGGACAGGAAGAACAGTTTCCGTGCTTGGGAGGAAGATGTTTGGTTCAGGGTGGCACCTTGTGAGAGATGTGGGTCCAGAGGACCCAGGACTTGGAAAAGTTGTCTTCCATTCCTGCCTGGCCTTGACTTTTAATGGTCTGGTCTACTTCTATAATCTTTCTGAATTTAAATTTAGTAGTCTGTAAAATAAGGATAATTCTCACTACATAAAGAGTTTATTAGTCTCCTTTATCTGTGCTTTTATGACCCACAGTTTAAAAGTACAGTGCAGCGCTATACAGTATTTTGGGAGGCAGGGAAAGACTGCATTTAAGTAACTTTTATTACAATATATTGTTTTAATTTTTCTTTATTGTTAGTCTCTTTACCTAATTTGTAACTTTCACTTTTTCATAGTTATGTATATTTCAAGGAAAAAAAAAACAGTGTTTATAGGCTATGGTACTGTGCCCATTCCAGGCTTCCACTGTGAATCTTGAAACACACCCTGAGGATAAGGAACTGCTATATCCCAAAGCAACGTACTTACATATTTGTACCTTTTCCATTATAGATTTATAATTTACATTTCACCATTGTACCATTTTAAGTTAATGTCTGTCAGTTTTCAGCTCTTTAGTAGATGTGTTGAGAAAATTATTTTACCATGAAGAACTGCAGAGATGTTCAGTTATTCAGTGAACATCCATGTATCTTTCACCTAGATTTTTATTAATTATACTGCTTTATGACATATCTGTTCATATATCAATCCCTCTATCCATACAGCAGTCTATTTTAATTTGATATATTTCAAAGTAAGTTATAGACATAATTATAGTTTACTCATATATGCTTGTCATTAACTAGAGGTCAGCATATTTAATGAATTATTTTCCTTATGTGGTAAAATTTACATAAGGGAAACATAAATTTACATTCACTGAGTTTGACTAATATATACACAGATACAATAAAAAATACCTACTGAGATAGAGACTAGTACCAGTAACTAGGAAATGTCCCTTGTGTCTCTCCCTGGCCAGTCCTGTCTTCTTCCTTCTCTGCTACTGTTTGCCTATGTTATTTTAACATTAAAGGCAGCTAGACATTTCTGTGGACTATTGTATATGGCTTTAAAAACTAGAAATTCATCTGTGTATAAAGATTTGCTAGCTTAAAACTAAAAAATTAAAGTGCTCTAAACAAGGATCTGAACTCTTGACTGAGAATCCGGTTGGTAAAATTTCAGTATGCATCCCTAATATATGTAAATTTACCTTAAAATTGTGTATACCTCTTATTTTATACTACTACTATGTACATTACAAAATAAACATGAAAATGATCCAAAGGGAATGAGATCCTTTTTTTATAGGGTATTTTATAGTTCAAATCTGTTATGGTCAAGATATTAACAGTAATGTATTAAATCCATATTTTTAAGCCTTAGTTTTTAGAATGTTTTTGGCCTGCTCCTTGTGGGACCCAATTGATGAAGTGGTCACAGCTTTTAATCTTCTAAAGAGGTTTTGATTTGTTTTTTAGGTTACACATTCCAGTTAAGCCATTTTTAAAAGCTGTGTGCTTGTATTCATTAATATTATCTGTGTAGAAGTTTTTAGACATTTGTCTGTTTGGTGAAAGCTAGTTGAATTAAATACTCAGATTCTGTTCAACCAAGCTCTCACAAATGGCAGTAAACCACAGCAAGGCTAAGGTAAGGGCATTAATGTCAATTTTTATATTAAATTATAGTGAAATTGACTTTTTAGAATAGTCTTTTCTTGCCACACTCCCCCATCCACCTTGAGTGTGAGTTATGAACACCCTGTTACGCAGTACAGAGAATAGCCTCCAAGCTGTTGTGCTTCAATTCAGAAGCTTTTTCAGTTGGAAACCTTGATATGAGACTTCAGTAGTAAACCATGTGCTTTGTATGCATGAGGCCCCGAATTTTATCCCTAGTGTCCACCCCCCTCATTGTGTGTGTTTTACTCTTTTGACTTTTGGGAGTCCCACCACCCAGCTTCCAAATAAATCACGCACAGAGGCTTATTCTTAGTTAGGAATGCCCGGCCTTAGCTTGGCTTGTTTCTTGCTAGCTTTTCTTAATTTTAATTATCCCAATTTCTTTTTGCCCCTGGCCTTTTTCCTTTTCTGACTTCTGTATGTCTTACTTTCATTCTCACTCCATGGCTGGTCCCTGACGTCCTCCTCCTTGTTCTCTCATTGCTGCCCCTTCTCTTCAGAGTTCTTCTCCTATTTAAACTGCAGCCTGCCAGCCCCGTCTGCCCTCGCTCCTGCCTATTGGCGGTTCAGCTCTTTGTTAGGACTATCAGGTATTTTAGACAAAGAATCACAGCTTCTCAGAGTTAAATGCAATATAGAAAGAAAAGTAACACACCTTAAAATAATATTCCCCCACACCCCAAGTTATTTCCAGGCATGCTAGCCCGAGTCTTTCCCAGTCTTTAGTTGCACTACTCAGGAGGCTACCCAGGAGGACGGCCTGAGTGCAGGAGGCCAAGGCCAGTCTGGGCAACACGCCGAGACCCCCCCCCCCTAAGGTTTTAGTATATCTTTATGTGAGCTCTAAAGCACTGTTCTCGCTTCCAGTTTATGTCCACCGAAAGGTCTGTGTAAAAGTGTCTGTAGGAAGCGACTTATCCATAGTAGACTAGTAGAAACAACCCAGTGTCCCTTCACAGGAAAGTGATTAGACAACTCTGTCATGTGTTACTGATACCCACCCAAAAAAAAATGTAAAGTTGAGAGAAAGGAGCCAGACATGACAGTATACTGCGTATAAATCTGTTTATATAATACTCAGAACCAAGCAGAGCTGGCGGTGGAGATCTCATGCAGTGGGGAGAAGCCCTGCAGGTACTCTGTGCCTTCGCCTGTTGGTGCCGGACAAGCTAGAGCTCACAGGAAAGCTTACCGAGCTGCACGTGTAAGATTTGAGCACTGTAGTGGGGTTCTACCTTCATTTTTAGAAACACGTTTTGGAACAGTATGTGGTAAAGCGCCCTCTCACACAACTGATCCTGTAAACTACATGGATTCCATCTCGCCATTTTTAGTTTCCATTGTTTTGCTTTCCTTTTACTGCTAGAGATTTAGCTCGGTGCAAGTGCTCATTCAGCAATGTGAAGCTCTGGTTCCATCCCAAGGTATTGGA